TTCCACTGCAGATGGACAAAGCATGTGTGGCTGGTTTTTTTCATTTCCCACTTGTTCGTGAATTCAGACACTAGAATGGAAAGAAGTTCTCATGGTGTGTCCACGTCTTGTAAGTGAAGGAATTTAGTTTGATAGATTTGTGTACTAGCATATAGGCAGAATATTGTCCACAATAGCAGCACATGGAGATATGTTGGTTGTGTTTGACACACAAACTGCACAATTCCACACCATAAATGGCCCTCCATCTCCAATCTTCCAGAACCTTATTGGTTCTTGGAACTTGAATGTCCGCGTCAAAATATTATATTTTAATGAAACTATCTGTGTAACAGTCGAGTACGAGATCATTCATCATTCTCGTTTTTAAATGTGGGCATGGGATCCAGATACTTCCACATAGGACCAGCGGTTCAACACGAATTATTTTCCACGAGTGAATACACAAATTCCACACCAAGGAGCAACATTCCGTCACGATTGGGTTTATCTAGTGTTTCTAAGCCACAAATCATCACCAGATGGACAATTCATTGTCAAAGGATATGACAATTGCTATGTCACGTTATATGGTGTTCCCGGCGGAGAAATCACATACTTGACTACGCTGTCGGAATTAGAAACCAGTTACATCCTTAGGGCATATTACTTCTAGGAGACATTAGCACATTTTTAGCATTTTTCATTTTTTTTTCCTACTCTACTTTTTTAGTGAAAATCATTGTCCAAGTATTTAGTACTGCTTATCCAACTACTTTCTACTGATTATCCATGAAGATTGTATTGCTTATCTAGTCATTAATTTTTTCTAAAAATGCTTGTCCAATGTCTTAGTAGTTACTGTCCAACAAAAGGCTAAATTACAAAACTGCATATATTGATTTACTGATAATCTGAATGTTTTATTCAACAATTTTCTATTGCTTATCCATTTATATCAAATGCCTATCCAACCAATGCATACTCACTATCCACCAACAACCAACATTTCTATAGAACTCCAATGTCATCTACACCTATGCCAAAAACTTGTTTTGAGTATCCAAACAGCCAACAATAAGCCACATTGTCAAGAAAAAAAAATACTTCAATTAAAACAATAATTTTTGGATATCCACGCGAATAACTCAAATATCTCCCAAACCATCCATCATTTTACATTATATACTGCAATTAAAAAATTTTTTAAATAAAAATCTTTACACCATTCATACTAGTCATTTCAACATCAGGTAAAAATACTAATAAAACATCTTGTTGAAGAAACACTGCACTCCAGCCTCCGGGGCAGCTTCCCATGCATTAAGAAATGAGAACCCGCCAGAATTTTCGTTCGTGAATGGCATGTTTTGACGAGAAGCATTCACAACAACATAAGTTCTTGTGCCTGAAAACTCCTGGCCAGCTCCCCTTGTATTAGGAAATGAGAATCCACCAGAATTTTTATTCATGAATGGCATGCTTTGACAAGAAGCATTCACAGCAGCGGAAGTTCCTACGCTTGGAAACTCCTGGGCAGCTCCCCTTAGATTAGGAAATGAGAATCCACCAGAATTTTCGTTCATGAATGGTATGCTTTGACGAGTAGCATTCACAGTAGCAGAAGTTTCTGTGCCTGAAAAATCCTGGACAGCTCCACTTGGATTAGGAGATGAGAATCTACCAGAATTTTCGTTCATGAATGACATGCTTTGACGAGAAGCATTCACAGCAGCAGAAGTTCCTACGCCTGAAAACTCCTGGGCAGCTCCCTTTGGATAAGGAAATGAGAACCCACCAGAAATTTCATTCAAGAATGGCATGCTTTGATAACAAGCATCTGCAGCACCAAACATTACTCCACCTGAAAACAATCCTTGATTACGACCCTCTGCCACCTTACCAAAATTGCAATTCGAATTCATCATGCTTTGAAATGCAGGTCAGATGCAACTGCAGCACTTGTACAGTTAGCAGCAATCCTTGCATTGTTTCTCCTGCCTCTAAGTTTGTTACAAGCCTTCTCAATGATGCTTTGAGGATGTTTGTTCCTGGGACCAATTTTTTTCCTCTTTACAACTGGATTCTTTATTATCCCATCATTATCTCCACACTCCTTAGACTCCTCATCATATTGATGGGACCAACAATACTTTTGAGATCTTCCATAAGCCTGTCGGCTGCTTCATCACAACATTTCTTTTGATTGCTTGTTATATTCACTTGCATAAACCAAATCTGAGAAATGTTTCATAATTAGCGCCTTCCACAATAATGGATCACCAACAGGGTTTCCATTCCCCTCATCTATGCTTGCCCTGGCACCGAAACCCTTCGTCCATCTCATGCATATATAATCTTTAGGATACTCAACAACACAGCTCACATTACAAATCCGAAGAATGTGAAAACAAAAAAGCCTGCCTCTGAATAGTACCTGCACGTGCATGAAAAACTCTGAGATTTACTATCATGTACAACCATATGCTCAAAATACTCAACCCTCAAACGCCGGACATTGTATGTCACAACACTACCATCCTCTGAGACCGTTTTTACCTCCTGCCTGCATAACAATCAATCTTTGTGCAACTCCTACACCTCCTTGAATGCTTGGATTGTGTACACACTCCTAATACTCTCCAAAATAGTATCACCGGAAAGATATGATTCAATGTTGCCTTGACTGCATTGAAGATCTTCCCCCCTAACAGCTCTCCGCCAATCACAAACAACATCAGAAAAATTCCATAGAAATCACACAACGAAGATGTGGTTGTGAGATATGGAATGGTTTGTCGACTCACTTTTCTGTGAAGGCAAGTAATGCCTGAAAACACATCTTTATTAAATGCAGTGCCTCACCTTATGAATACTTTTGAGCCACTTTCGTCATGACGATCATATTCTTCCAATAATATATGAAACAAAATGATAAAAACAAACAAAAAATAAAAAAATACAACAGTTAAGTTACGCCTGCAGATTCATAAAAGGTAGTTGCATATCCAAAAATACAATTTGTGCTGCCTATCCACTTCTTCCGTGTTGCTTATCCAAATACTTTGAACCAATTTACACCTAATCAATTCTTTCCTACTACTTATACAAAGACCTTCGACTGACTATCCATCAACAAAGCACATTAAAACAACTTACTTACTACCAATCAGTAATCATCACTTTAAACTAACATATCCATTAATACAATACACACACACACACACACACAATCCTTATGCTAAATATTAACAATAATAATAATAACAACAATAATAATACTATTGAAAAAATAAAATAAAATTAGAAACATTGTGCAACTGACCTCTCCTGTAAAACATCAAACTCAGCCTCTGCCGCAGCATATTTCATCAAATAATTAAGATTCTGAACGAACTTTGGCTTGCTCCTCAAATGATCAATTTGCTTCCTTGAATTTTCACCAATGTGCCAAATACACAGACGATGTCGAGAAGTTAGAAAACATGTTCGAATACTAGCAGCAATGGAAGGTGCTTGATCCGTCATGATAGTTTGTAGCTCTTTACCTCCCATGCATTTCAAAAACTAGTTGAACAACCAATCGAAGGAGGGTTCTTTCTCATTTCACACAAAACCACAACTAAACATGACATTCTTATTATGGTTATCCATAGCGACAAACGGAGCACAAATCATCCCATACGTGGTATCAAACACAAACAAGTCGCCAAAACAAATATCATAATCCTTAGGAATCCGGCCATCCCTCCAGAAGAAAGTACACAGCCTACCATCACCATCACAATCAAAGTTGTAGAAGAAATCTTCTTCAGTCTCCCTCCTGTGACGGAAAATCTGCATCAGCTGGTTACAATCGCCACCATCGAATGCAACACCATCCCTGTAGTGATTGTAAGCATCTTTCAATGTGTTCTTCATGTTAGGAGATCCACCATGTAATCTTGAAATAAACTTAAATGCATCAACAAAAGGGATCCCACTTTCATCTCTAGCAATATCTTTATGTCATTTTCATCTATTTCCCGTTGAGAGCGAACAAGATCACTCTAACCATCCGGCACAAGACCATAATTATGATGAACAACATGCTTCACACAAGTCCATACCCCATCCTTGCTAACACTAAAATGGATATAGGTTGCAGGCTCACACCAAAAATCAATCCTCAAATGAGATTTTATGCTCTTCCCACCAGATTTCTTAAAACCTTCTCTGTTACAATAAAATTTCTTCATCCTAACTTCGCCAGTCTTACCTCTAAACTTTTGTTTACCTCTTCTCACACTAAATCCAATCTTTCGTGCATGATCATTATACAAACGGAAAACTTCTTCCTCGCACTTTGCAGTCTCACCAACTAAACTAAAAGTATCCAAATCAATGCTCTTCAGATCAGATGTAACTTCCATCCGCAAACCCTCGTCCACCACAACATCATCCCCTAACATTTCATTGCCACTGACATCTTTTCCAGAACCTGAAAAGCAAATTTAAAAAAAAATAAAGAAACCATTAAAATAAACACCAATCTTGCATATACCTTAACAACTACAAACCACTTGGATAACCATATAATCCATTGGATAACTCGTACAAATAAGTCGGATATTCATATAAACCAACTGGATATCCATCAGAATCAATTTCGATAACCAATACAAACAAACTGGATATGCTTGTAAACTGGTTGGATAACCTTAACATACAATTTAGATAAGCATACAAATTTACTTGGATAACCAGGACATCGAACCTAGATAACCAGTACCAAAAAAAATAGTGATGCAGTACTTCACACATGTATATCCATGTTTAAGTCAACCACCAAACAACATATCCGCCTAAAAAATATACAGGACTCTGCTGCATATCCAACAGAACAAAACTGCTTATCTACCTCATATAACAATTAACAAAAATTAGAAATATATGAAAACAAAAGTAGAAAATATTTCTTCTGAAACAAAAAAAAAAAAAAAAGAACACTTCACGAAGTAACATGAAAAATCAATTTTGTCTTAACCTGAATACATCGGATCAATCACAGAGCTACCACCACCTTCACCATTGTTACTAGAAGATACTTCCATTGACTTGCTGGTACACTCCCTAGTATTCCTCACAACCACAGATCTCGTATTCATCCAGCCGGAATCTCCAACAAGGTGCCTCATCGATCCACTTAGAGTAAGCATCTCGTCAATCCAGTCATCGTTTCCACATTTTAGTGCGATTTCAGTTTCTATCATCGAAGCCATTCCTCGATCGCTGCAGGACGTTGCCGCCTCATCAACAATACCAGATCGAGACAAATTGTCCATCGTTAAGAATAATAGGCGAAAAATTCTCCCAGAAATTTTGAATTGAGAATTAATCGATTTCGCCCCTAATTTTGCCTTTAAACACGCGCGTTGGCAAAAATGAAAATCAGATACCTCTTCACGCGTTTGGGCGCTATTTAATTGAATGCCCTGAGAGGTGCATGGTGGTTCCGGGTCCAACTAAGAATTTGCCGCGTGAAACCACCCAACAAATTAATTTCATTAGTTATTTCGCAACTAGTTTTGAATGTTCATTTGATCGGGTTCTTTTCTTTTTCTTTTTATATACCATTATAAGTATCCTAGGTTATTACATTTGTGGGGTCTACTTGGGAAAGCGGATACTACTACTAGGGAGAAACTCTACGCGTGCACGCCTCTGTTACGCACTCTCCTGGACTGTAAACTGGCCTCCGGAACTGCCTCTGACCTCCTTGCTGCAAGCCTCCATAGGCAGCACTTAAAGTGCTCTTGCCGGGGTTTGAAACTGAGACCTCTTGAGACCTTAAGTTTTGATGTCATGCCCACTGCCACTTGGGCAACCACTATGTAGTTTTTTGTTTTCTTTTTAGAAAACAGAGACACGGCTAGAACTAGTTAAAAATGAGTAATAATCAATTTAGAATTTTAGATGCCAAAAGAAAACAAAAAAAAGTCTCCAACATTAGTTACAAGATTTTTCATGATAATAAACTTCACTCTACAAAATAATTACGCGATAAACTAAACCAATGTTGAAGAGATATACATGACAAACATTAATACTTTTTCCCACGTTTCATTTTTGCAAAAGCTTAAGAATTCTAATTATCGCATTTTATGACTACTAAAAAAAAGAGGTACAGTCAAACGCTTGCACACTATTAGTAAAAATCCACCTCCTTAAAAAATTGCTTATTTTAACCAGTCCCTTATTGAGCGTCTATTTTCTTTCTTGATCTGTTATTGTCATTTTAATTCGTTGGGCTCCCAAGTAAAAAGTTTTACCTTTTCTTTTTTTAAAAAAATGAAAAAAAAAACACCAAAAATAAGCTGTAATTGTAGATCGAAGTGATGATTATTATTTAATTCAAATGGACTCGGACAAAGTCTTTAGCGCCTCCAAGTTGCCATTTCTTTCCCCTGCCTTGTTTACTTTTTAATTTTTTTTTATCTTTTACGGATACGAATTAATGAATTGTAGACAGGGAAGGAGGGAGTCGGATGCTGTCCTTGTTCGAAGACTTTCGACTTCGGAGTCAATGGTCTCTTTCTGTGGCGGCCGTGTGTATGACTCGATCAATAACGTAGCAAACCGAAAGGATTACACTTCACTTCCTCCTTTGCCCAATAAAAAATAATCATTATTGAATTTTTAAATTTATACAGAAAAAATAATATATTAAATGGAAGTGATACACTGTACAAGATTATTATTTTATGGCAGAGAGATGGAGTTTATATAAGTGCTAGATGATGGATTTGAAGAAGTTGGTTTGTGTTATGCGGCTTAGAGATTAGAGAAACTACTAACTACTAAAGTATAGAGTATGATCGTTATTAGATAGAATTCAGAAGTTTTAATTTGATCTTAGTTAATTTTTTAGGCTTTTAGTAGAATAACTATTGTAAATGGTAGACATTAAATATAGTCCTAAGAGTGGATTTATCAATGTTTATGATGACATTTTTTTTTTTAAAAAAAAAGAAAATTATCAGTAAACAATATCTTTTCATCACTAAGAAAACAGGGTCGATATTATGAGACACACAAATCATTCACAAAAGACATACAATATAGGTAAACCTTTTATTAACACACTTCAAAATTGCATAAACATTATGTCAGATTCGGAGGGTTTAATTCCGCCAGATGCATGGATTTGAACCTAAGTTTGTTTTTTAATGGAGGAAAGCAACATCATCTGATGCAACCCTATGATAAATTAATAGCGATTCGTAGAACCCTACAACACGTCAATATTGTTTGTAATTTTTTAAAATTCCTGTTTAAGAACAATATTCAAGTCAAATTGGCCCTATCGTAGTGATGTAGAGTTACAACTTAGAAACGTGATGAGAGTTAATATGTCCTTAAACGAGTTTAATAATTTAGGCTGAATTAAATATTCGACAAATCTAGGGATAAGATCTAGTACATGCAGAGCTCAATTAATTTAAGGTTCATATATCCTGAATGCGAGTCATCATCAATGTCAAACGAAGTAAAAAAAAAACTGTTAGTGAATACAATAAAAGGTTAACCACAGTCAGTAACACCGTTTAGACTAAGAAGTTTAAGAAAATATACGCCTAAGCATATGCCAATTTAGTTCATCACAGCTTTTCTTTATGTTCTCTATGGTGACTGCAAAATTAATAAAAGTTGAACGCGTAACTAACATTTAATCTAATATTGGTATATATTTTCAATAAAATTTTACACTGAAGCCAAAAAATTGTAAGAGTCTATACCATTATATGTTCATAGTAGCTACTTAAAAAAGGAAAAAAAAAAAAATTGTATGTGCTCTGCTCATAGCTTTGACACAACGTGGCAAATGAAAACTCCATTAAATTAATTTTTTGGCTCTTCACAAAAAGTAGTCTTTATTCTCAATTACTTATTGTCAAGTTGACAACAATGCGCAAGGCTAGATGCTCAAGTTTCCTTCCACCAAAACCCATGGTCCAATGCGAAGGTAATATATTCCGTCCTCTTGTGCTCATAGCTTTGACCCAACGTGGCAAATGAAAACTTCATTAAAATAACAACAAAATGAGACTGTAGAAATAATATGTTATGTTTTAAAAAAAGAAAAATGCACATGCAATGCATCCTCTCATTGTCTCAATCAATAATTTTCTGGCTTAGCCCAAAGCAAAAAAAATTTTCCGGTGTACGCAAATAGAAAAACAAGAATCCATGACGACGTCCCCAATACTTGATGATAATCTTCCTCTCCCTTTTCTTTTCTTTTTTCTTTTTTTTGACAAAAAAAAAACCTCTTATTAAATATTGGAAGGCAGACGTCAAGGATATGCCTTCCCCCATTAAGAAGTTAAAAAAGAAAAAGAAGAAGAGTTTTTTCTTTCTTCGTCATCTACCTCAGGAAGGATTTTTAAATTTACATTCAATTCAAAAAGGTTAATCACTAAGGCAATTTTAATAAAATTGTCCTTCGCAATATTACTATTCATTTACTACTGTAATAAAAACTAATACCCTACATTTCTTCTTTAATAGCGGCTTCCAATTTCTCTGCCAGAATGTTAACCAAGTCTGCAAAAATCAAATAACCTCTGTCTCGCTAGGTTTTTATGGGGTTCGTTTTTTACTTTTGGGACTACAATCGAACTCCCGATAGTAACGGTCACTATTTTTTTCTTTTTTTTTGAATGATCAGTTCTTGGCACAAATATTGGCGTACTTTAAACTGGTTGACGAAGCATGGATCTCTACGGTGCCTTATGATGGGCGACGATGATGATCTAAGCGGTGGTGGACAGGCTAAAACCTACAAGACAGAGGCTCGGGTGTCTCGCGAGAGTAGACTCTCTGATTCTTAAGTCAATAAGGGAATAAAGAGAATAGAGAGAGAAGGATGTGTATCGTGTGTAGAAGGTATAGAAGATAGGTAGAAGATATCAATTATGAGAGAGGCACCACTTTCTTATATAGAGGTGGTATTACCTATTTTCTTAAACCTAGTCGTAATAGGTTTAGGCGGTGGCTTAATCTCCAAATAACCTAATTCTAGGCACAATAGGCCTAGGGTTTAATTCTAATTCGTCAAGTGCCCCTAGCAAGCCATATTCTCGAGATTCGCCGAGAAGAATATGGGTTAATACGAGTGTTGATGTCTTCTCCAGTTTCGTAGTGTTGCCCAGTTCTCGAACTCTTTCATTCTCGAGTGTCACCTATATAAGATAAAGAGAGGTAGAATGCCTCGAGGAGGTTTTTATGTTAGAGAGTTCCTTGTTTGCACGGTGGACCGCGAGTATCCTTGTTTGTGCGGTGGACCGTGAGTGTATAGATCATTGAGATGCAATACAAGATAATAATAACATATGATCCCTCAAATTCCTTGCTCCAAGAGTATGCCCCCGTTTTTGCCCCCGAGTACGTTGTCCTCGTTGAAGGGTGATAGGGTTTTACCGCGAGAGGGTTGGTAATTTGAAGAACTCCTTTAATCGTGCTCAAAAAGATATCTTCATATAATAGTAATATGATAATGATATCAGAAGTAGATTGATTTAGATTTAAGAAATAAATTAAAAAAGGTTTGAGAAATACCTCGGTCTCGAGATAAATTGATTACTCAAGAAGGTGTTACCTCGATTCCGAGAAGGTATTATGAAAGTTGATATACGTCTTCTCAAACACTTCAAGTAGTAGAGTCAAGATACGTTTTCTTGAATACTTCGAGTAATAGTGTATTGCTCGAGGGATGCTTGCCCCTTCGAGGAGATGCATCTCTCGAAACTTCAATCCTCGAAATTGCCCCTTGATTCGAAGGACTTGAGAGCTTATCTGTAAAATTAGAAAAGTATTAGGGTTAATCAACCATAAGATAAAAATTACCCCTTGTCGGCTTATTCGTCGGGTTGTTTAGGTCGGCATGGATGTCGACAGCATCTTCGTCGGCCTCGTCGTCGACAGGAAGGCGTTGACTTGGAAGTCGACGGAACTGTCGTCGACCTGATCGTCGATTGGAGGAGGTTGATGTAGAAGTCGACGGTTGGCAGCTTTACAAAAATTTCCTAATTCTTGATCTTTTCTTTCAGGTCCGAATTGAGACACTATGAAGAACCAACAAGTTTCGGCTTCTTTTCAAGAATTTATTTGGTTGTGAAGACCAAACAAATCGGTCCCACCGGGCGTGCCACTTGACGAAGCATGGTGTTTTAAGACAGGCGGCGATGATGATCTAGGGGGTGGCGGACGACCGAAAACCTACAAGACAGAACCTCGGGTGTCTCCCGATGGTAGATTCTCCCATACTTAAATCAATAAGGGA